ACAACCTAGATGGAGATACTATAAAGTGGGTGCGTAACAGGCTGGATAACTATCATGCTGGAAGGGCATAACATGACTGAGAGGGGACATGATAGGTACTTGAAAATTGCTAACGGGATGTCACAAGGAGGAGGGAGACAGATTGTTCTCCTTGGCCTCCGAGGATAGAACAAGAAGCAATGGGCTTAAACTGCAGCAAGGGGGGTTTAGGCTGGACATTAGGAAAAACTTCCTGTCAGGGTGGTTAAACACTGGAATAAATTGCCTAAGGAGACTGTGGAAGTTCCATCAATGGAGAGACTTAAGAGCAGGTCAGATAGACATCTGTCAGGGATGATCTAGATTATGCTTGGTCCTCCCATGAAGGCAGGGGACTGGACAACCTTAAAGTCCCTTCCAGCTGTAGTATTCCATGATTCTATCAATGTATCAGCCTCAAGTAAGTCAGGTTATACAAATAACACTGATTACTTCCTGCCTGACCTTCCTAATAGACCTAGGATGATGATGTGATGCACAGAAAAAAAAATCTCCAAAAATCAAGAATGATTAAAGCTTCTGGGCCAATATCTGCTCTAGAGCAAGAGGGGGCCTTTACTTATCTTGGTGGCAAACAGGTCTACCACAGGCCCTTTCTAACCCCCACCTGTATCTGTGGAATGAAGTCTTAAGAGTCCTTCAGCAACCACTTGTGCTTGGCTGAGTATCATCTGCAGAGATCCCTTACCAGGGTGGGAAAACCCTGATAGGTTAAGGGCCATGCAAGTTGTTCTGTAATTACAAGAGTGCATTGCTTGGGAAATCCCTTTGAAGGAGAGAGGTGGATGGTTGGATGTCTAGAGAAAGATCTCTGCTAGGACTCCAAGAGAAGACTACGTGAGCAAACAAACAAAAACAAAAGCCACTCACCCTCCCACAAATCCCGTTTGCTGCCCTCAGTGGTAGAATAGGTCACTATCTTTTTCTATGCTACAGGGTTTTTGCACAAGCAGCTTTTGCAGAATCTCTCTTCCTCAAAAAACTTATTGCGCAAAAGCACGTCCCCACCTCAAAATCAACATTGCAAAAGTAAGCGTCCACACTGCAGGGACACTCTTTTGCAAGAAAGTTCTGATTTCCTAACTGTCTTGCCAGCTGTCTACACTGGCCGCTTGAATTTGAGCAAGAGCACTGACGTTCTAATGTAAGAATTCAGTGCTTCTTGCGCAAATACTTTGACGCTCCTGCTCAGGGATAAGCCCTCTTGTGCAAGAATACTTGCGCAAGAGGGCCAGTGTAGATAGGCACCTTAATTTCTTGCACAAAAAAGCCCGATGGCTAAAATGGCCAACAAAGCTTTCTTGCGCAAAAGCGCGTCTATACTGGGCACGGATGCTTTTGCGCAAGAGCACTTTTGGCGCAAAAGCATCCGTGCCAATCTAGACGCTCTTTTGAGGAAATACTTTTAACGGAAAAACTTTTCCATTAAAAGTATTTCCGCAAAATCATGCCAATCTAGATGCAGCCTAGCTGTTTCTATCAATTAATGGAATATGTCCACATCATAATGGGCACAGCTTGAACCCAGAGTGGTTAAACTTGGCTCTTATACAGGAAGGCAATTTGCAGTAGTGAGACTGCCAACAAGTAGTCAGAAGAAAGGGTATTTAAATAGGCATAATTTGTCTTAAAGCTAAACTAATCCAAAAATTTGCAAACTGGTTTGATGAAAGGGTCCACTGACATGGCAGTGAGGGAGCACACTTGCTATGAAATTATAATAGGGAACAGACAGGTATGGGCTGCTCTGCCTTTTATGTCATTAGGTGAGGGCATCATGCGCATCCTCACTGATCAAAGATTCCAATCTCACATGCATAAGCTATACAGATACTGTGCAGCTTCCACATATGGTGCAAGTTAACTTAAAGCATGATATCAAGTGAGGTTTAGCAGCTAGGTTGTGGGTTTAAAAAAGGATTCTAAAAGTAACCCAAAATCCTATGAATAGAACTGTACAAACACTACTTGTAAATGAAGAACTGTTCAAAAGCATGTTAACAAATAGTTCAAATTAAAAAAAGATTGTATATAAAGTTATTCATTCCAGCAATTATGTATATACGCGCGCACACACACACACACACACACACGATTATTATATGCTAACTTTAGTGAAGGAGTTGGACAAGGGAATTTGTAAGGTAGTAAAATGTACAGAAAGTAACAAAATATGAGAAAAGTTAGAAGTGGCATTAAAATTTGAAAGCTCAAAATCTTATACTGAAATTTAAACTAATACACTAAATTATTTGTTGCATCACATGGCATCAGAACACTAGCCTACCTAACTTCACGATATGTCTGATGCTCTCTCAAGAAACAATTACACTCTTTATTTTTGCTTTTGTTGTATTAAACTCCATAGGCCTTTTCCTGCAAATCTTTAAACTCTATGGCTGTGTCCAGACTGGCCAGTTTTTCCGGAAAATCAGCCGCTTTTCCAGAAAAACTTGCCAGCTGTCTACACTGGCCGCTTGAATTTCCGCAAAAGCACTGACTTCCTACTGTAAGAAATCAGTGCTTCTTGGGAAATACTATTCTGCTCCCGTTCAGGCAAAAATCCCTTTTGTGCAAAGCTTTTGCGCAAAAGGGCTAGTGTAGACAGCTCAGATTTGTTTTCCGCAAAACAAAAAAAAAGCCCCAATCGCTCATCTAGATTGGCACGGAGGCTTTTCCGCAAAAAGTGTTTTTGGGGAAAAGCGTCCGTGCCAATCTAGACGCTCTGTTCCAAAAATGCTTTTAACAGAAAACTTTTCCATTAAAAGCATTTCCGGAAAATCATGCCAATCTAGACGCAGCCTATGACTTCAAAGGGAGTTTTGCCTAAAGACAAAAGAATTAGGCACTAAATTAGTACGTAACTGGTTTTTTTTACTATTTTATATACTAGCCAATTAGCCCATCATAATATGGGATTTTCAAGTCTCTTCTCCATGTCCATCTTCTCTCCTGAGCCTCTGGTCTCCTGCTCTCTCTCTCCCCCTTGCTCCTGCGTCCTCCGTCCCCCTCAGCTCTCCTGCCTCGCCCTCAGGGGAGCGCAGAGCCCAAACCGTCACTTGCGCCACTTGCTCTGCCACAGCAACCTGGCTGAGTGGCGCAGAAGTCACCCGAGTGCCACGGTGGGAGGCGAAGGGGGGCGGGGCAGTGATGTGTGGCATGACAGCAGCTCCAGGCCCCACCCCCTGGCCGTGAACACACTGACCCGCCTCCCTTCACCTCCTGCCGGGGCACTTGGTTGACTTCTGTGC